ACAGAAGCAGAGGAACCGCAGACATTTGCAGATTCTACCACGAGAGTCTGTGGCAGGTCAATCTGCAGACCTGGAGACTCAGCCAGGGTTAGAGGGGAAATGTGAACATGCACCGAACATGCCTGATCGACAACAGACGCAGCCACAAACTCAGACTGTTACAAGGGCTGGGAGAGTGTGCAAACCGGTAAAAAGGTTGAATCTGTAGAAGGGACGGTTTAAGTGCATCTGGTAGTTACTTAAGTGTTTCTGCATGCTGTTCAGACACGATGTACCACTTTTGGTTCTTATTAGAAAAACAAAGGGTTTGCGAAATGAAGGAACTGCCGGAAGGGGGTTGTTCTGTGTTACAGTTAAGTTAGAGTGAAAAGGGGGAGGTGTCAAGGAAGTATGCAATAGAGCGGGATGTCATGTATCATTGAGGATCTTTGGGGAGTAGACGTCAGCGAGGGGGAGGAGAGCTTCGTTACTGTTGGTGTGTTGTGTTGTTAATAAAGTACCAAGTAATGTAAAAGACGGAGGGTACTTCATTACTTGACAGACCTAAAGTTCATGACCATAAGTGGGAGTCGGAACGTAGATTGACCAGTAAATCCGGTCCCTGTACGATCGGCGCAGGAGCTTGGTTCGCATCGCCGGCAGTAAGTCAGACTTGTTTCCAGTGCATGTTGGACTCCGGCAGGGCTGCCCTTTGTCACCGGTTCTGTTCATTATTTTTATGGACAGAATTTCTAGGCGCAGCCAGGGGCCGGAGGGAGTCTGGTTTGGGGACCACAAGATTCAATTCATTGTATTTAACTACTGAAAAATTTCTAATTCAAGTTTTTGTGTCTAACGTCTAACATGATTTGCTACTATTCGTCATGCTTGTAGTAATGCCAATGCAAACTCACATTTGACTTATTTGAACAACATAAAGAAATTACCTGTACCTGACACACCAGAACAAATACTGCATTTCACACCATGAAACAATATTTGTGCTGATATTAAAAATGAAGCTGCAGCTTTGATATTGCTGGACTCATCCACAGGTCTATTGATTCAGGACATTATAATGGCCATGTATTGTTTCCCCTCGAAGACAGTCTCAAATAAGGCAGCTTGTGGACGAGTGCCACAAACAGGTCGGATTAGTCAGAAAGTGTAGAGTTGGACTAAAACTATTTTGGCCTTTTCATAGGATTTTTTGGACAGTAACAAAAGGTAGAATATCATCAGCCATATATTTAAATGACCACTGGAAGAACAGTGATGTATCAGGTAAACAGGTGATACAAAACTGTTAATTGAAAAAGATATTGCCAGCACATGGTGCAAATTTTGCAGTTCAGGTTTTGTCTTTGCCTGTAGGAGGCAACATACAGTTGCTAAATGTCTCTTTTTTTTCTTTTTTTTGCAGTTTAGGATAAACCAATTGAATATACAAACCTCTAACCAAATTAATCTCAAACTATATTTCCTTTGCCATTTATGTATTTCATTTTTGTTTGTGTGACAGGTGAGAACTGCTGCAGAGTGATCACACAGTACTGCAAAGAGTGCCACAATGAATGTATCAGAAGTCTACAATAGAATGCCTAGCATTTATACTGAAGGGAATGTCTCTGGCAATGCAAGCATGGGTTTCATGAGGAACTCCCCTTTAGACAGTGCTATCAGCATCTTCGCCATCATCATTCTCTTTATCACCATGATGTCCCTCGGCTCTACGATGGAGATTTCCAAAATTAAGGCTCATCTCTTCAAGCCGAAAGGGCCAGCCATTGCACTGGTGTCCCAGTTTTGTATCATGCCCCTGACTGCTTTCTGTCTAGCCAAAATCCTACAGATGAGTCCTGTCAAGACTTTGATTGTGCTTGTCTGTGGCTGCTGTCCAGGTGGAAACTGGTCGAACATTTTTTCCTTGGCCATCGAGGGTGACATGAACCTCAGGTATGCCCTCACTTATTTATTTATTGCATTGCATTAATTCTGACCTTGCTGGAGGATTACATCACATTCTGATTTACTACTTCAGCTGGGTCAACACAATTATCTGTCTTACTGCAAAACTGTCAGTAAACAGGAACACACAAATCAAGACCCTTGTATTGCATGTACTGTTTGAGATATTTTCATTTCAGACATGTCAGTCTAATAATTTTTCTTCTCTGTTTGATACCCTCCCAGCATCGTAATGACTACTTGCTCCAACTTGGCAGCTCTTGGGCTGATGCCTCTGATGCTCTATCTCTTCTCTCAAGGCTTCCCTGGTTTGGAAACTGCTGTACCATACAGTGGCATTATCACTGCTTTAGCATTAAGCCTGCTTCCTTGTGTCATTGGCATTGCCATTAATCACTACAGACCACAGTACTCGCCAGTCATCAGAAACGTGAGACTACTGAAATCTGTTTTCACACAAACACACAGATATTTTATTAGACAATAGGCAGGACATTTTCACAGTTCAGGCCAATGACAGTGAGTCAATATACACAGTACCAGGACCCCAAAACTGAAGGCACTAAATAAAATTCAGCAATTCTTAATCTTAGTCTTTTCATCTGTGCTTTTGCTATTGTGACACATCAAAATGTCTTCCATGGAAAAGGCCTATTGGACAAAAAGTTGTGTTTACCAAAACTATTCATCACATGTGGATGAATGTGGTCTAAGCAAACAGGAAGGTATGTGCAACAGGAAGCCTTTACTGCTGACTAAAAGCAGACCCTGAAGCTTCCAGAAGTTTGAAAGTAGGAAAGAAGGACAAAATCTCAAGGTTTCATGTTCACATTCATGTAACATTTAATTAAGGGAGACAATTTTCACTCATACTGATTCCCTTGACAGGTTGGTATCAGCATTTTGATCATTTCTGGCATTATAGTTTTCATCCTGGTTGGCTATAATGTCAGAGACAAAATATGGATGGTCCTCAAAGCAGATATTCTGAGTGCGTCTGCACTGATGCCACTGACTGGATTTATGCTGGGATATGTCTTGTCTGGCATATGCGGTCTCAGCCCTCGGTAAGTGAATGCACACTAAATATCCAGTAGCTGTGTCCCAGTTACTACATACTGAATGTATACAAAGGCTATACACTGTATGATATCTTGCAGTGTAATTAATGTTCTTTACTGTTTTAGATTATAAATTATTATTGTTAAAGATTATTTATGGTTATTATATTGTACATAAAATGACATGTCCAGTAGTCAGTCAGTCAGGAAGGTGTTAAAAGAAGTAGAGAAAAGTTTCAGATAAACCGCTGAAATGTGGAAAGACATCCTCTTACTTCAAGTAATTGCATCCAATTGCATTAAAACTGTCCCATTTTAGTATCAAATTCCAATAATGTAATCCCAAAACTAATGTCAAATGGCTCACCTCTTTTTAGATGCAGCAGGACCATCTCCATGGAGACAGGCTGTCAAAACACCCAGTTGTGTTTTGCAGTCCTGAAGATGATTCCTCCGCAGGTCACTGGACCCTTAATTCTCTTCCCTTTGCTATACTACTCATTCCAGTGTGCTGAGGGTCTTCTTCTGGTCCTGTGCTTCAGATGGTTCAGAAAATTCAAGGCACATGAGGGTAAATGTCACAGCAACCCCAATTTTATTTGTCAAGTTGAAACTGTCATAATCTCATCATTTTTGTACAGTTTGTGTTGTTCTAATGATCCAATTTCCCAAGGTTTTCCTTCCAGTATTTGTTTGTATAGAAAGCAAAAATGTAAAGTGGTGTTAACGTAATGATCATCTGGCACATAATATGGCTATAATTAAAAATTATATATTTTATATACATGTCCGGCTCTTCTAAGACCTTGTTTCAATCTCCTCTCTCTCTCACAGCTGTGCGGGTGCTGAATCCAACCTCTCCCAGTCACTGACTTTGCATCCGCAACAAATAATTTGACTGGTTATAAGATATATTTAATCAGCAGCTCATAAAGTTTCTATAAGATACCACATAACATATCTATGTATTGTGCGTGGTGGTCACCTGTCTCCATAAATGTCCCTGCACAGACATCAGGTAAGGTATAAAAAGTGGGGAGATTGTTCTTTTGCCGTGTACGCCCCCAAACTCTGGAATGCCCTGCCCCCTGAGGTTTGATCTAAAATGGAGTTAATGGTTTTTAAGTCTAAATTAAAGGCACATTTATTCAGACTGGCTTTTGGCATCTAATATTTAGCAGTGATGCTATACAGGGCCTACAGGCCTTCCTGATTTTATTTTTCGTAATTTTACCCTCTCTGTATTTTGACTCATTTTTATTCTACAGGAGTGTTATAGTTCTTACAGATCATTGTTTTAAATTTGTGCAATGTTAACTTTTCTTTTGTTTGTGTATGTATTTTTGCATGCTCTGTTTTATCTCTGTTTTATTGTGAAGCACTCTGAGCTCCCTTCGGTGTTGTGAAGTGCTATATAAACAAATAAATTATTATTATTATTATTATTATCTTCCTCCAAACTGTTCCTGCCTGCCTCAGGTTCACCTGTTTATGCATAAAGCAAACATCATTTGGACTGTCTGACATCAAATATTATATGTGATCATTCTTATAGAAATCAGTGACGAGGCTTCCAAGTTGTCTTTTGTGTGGTTTATTAAGCAATCAGACAATAGCATAAGCACAACACCAGTATATTGATCAAGAGGTCACACACTCAGTGCAGAGTCAGTGAGTGACAAAGGAAATATAACAGTCAGGTTTTGTATAACACTGACACTAGCTGATAGTTGGGTTGTGTAGGTAACAGGCTGTGTGTGTGTGTGTAGGGACTGAATCTGTGCGGAGGGTGTGGAGAACTGTCTGGGAGAAAAAGGGTAACAAGGTTAAACCACATAGATAGCACTGAGCATAGCCTCGGTATTATTTTCCATTTTTCCATTACAATCATTATATGTGGTCATTATTGGTGACAGTGTGATTTAGAGGAGGGTGGTTCACCTGCTGTGTGTGAGCTGGTGAGCAGGGAGCCTTACTTTCTGTTGACTGCCACCACGTTAACAGCAATGACAGCAGCTTTTTGGCCAGTGCATATCTAGGTACTGTTTCTACTGCACAAGTTAGAATAAATACATGGAATTGTAGTGGGTAGGAGTCTGATGTGAACTAAATTAATTCAGGCAAATCATCCCAATTCCAATAATCATTTAAAATTACAATTATGAGAGGAACAGAATCACTGTCTCCGCCTGGAAATAAACAAAAGTACTAGATAAGAGAATTGTCAACGAGTCAGTCAGTCATTGTGGCCACAAGGTACAGTCAGTCAGAGTCCCCTCTCCACCCAGCTGGGTCCAAATGCACACTCACGACTGCAGCACCATCATTCCTCTCCAACCCACAGCTATCCCAACTTTTATCTTCTCCCAGTTACACATTCTCCTATTGCTTAAGCCAGAGTCACGGTTTCACACCAGCTGTACACCCCTTCTTCTGGGAATTGTCTGAGATGTCCAGTACATGAACATCAGAGGTTGCATTAACCTAGCACCCATTTCCGTTTGTAAACATGAGCAGAACACACGAACAGTTCACGTAAGGCTGAAGTTATGTCCAACTTCAAGCTTCCCATTTAAGGGAGGCGCTCTGGATGTTTACCCATAGATTAAACAAGCCAAGATATTCTTGCTTGAGCAAGCTATCAGTAGATAATTCCCAAGGATAGTTAATTTATTTAGTTAGTATTTATTATTTATTTAGTTTATTACCAGGAAATACGTCATGTACTGTCGACCTGTACTGTTTACATTCTCAGTTTGCACATGCATAATTGCACATTGACTGTTGACTGCTGCGCATGCTGCTCCCATGTAGCATACATTCTCTTATTATATTCTTATATATTTTTATCACATTGCTGCATTTGCTGCTTAAAGTTCCTTAGGTTTTGTGTTCCTTATTTATCTACTTTATATTTCATTTGTATTTTGTGGCATTCATGTCGATGGCAAAGTAAGAATTTCATTGTACAGGGAAACACATTTCCTAACTGTGCAGATGACAAATAAACACTTTGACCTTTGACCTCCTCATGTACAAACATCCTCAAACATTTCAAAGCAGAGAAACAGATCTCTCCAAGCTTATATAAACACTTAGCTCACCCTTACATAACTACTACAAATAATATCTACAGTATATGGTAATATTACATATTACCTCAGGGGCCCGTTTCAAGAAGGAGGTTTTGTTGAAACTCTGAGTTTGTTAACCCCGAAATGAGGAAAACTCGGAGTTTTCGGTTCCAGAAACGGAGGTAACTTAAACCCGTGAAAGTGGGGTAAGTTAAACCCGTTTCAAAAAGAGATGTAATCTAAACTCAGAGTCAGTTACTATGGCAACTTACTCTGTGAACCTAACCTGGTTGGGAGCAGGTTTTGTTCGGGAAACCCAGAGTTTCCTCGGGTCTCCGCCCCTTTTTAAAGTGAAAGGTGTTTAAATAGGACTACCTCATTTAATGGTAAATGGACTATATTTTATATAACGCTTTTCCCACAGTGTGTTGCACTGGCCAAAGCGCTTTACAGAAGATCATACACCATTCACCCATTCACACACAACATTCACACACAACATTCACACACAGATGACGACAGGCTGCCACACAACGGCGCTAGTCAAGCCACCGGGAGCAATTCAGGGGTCAGTGTCTTGCTCAGGGACACTTAGGCATGCGGGGAGACCGGGAGTCGAACCACCAACTTGCTGGTCAGGAGACGACTGCCCTACCTGGTGGATAAGATTATTGATATATGTTATGGACTCTCTAGAAAAACGGTACCGCTCAAATAAAAATAGATGGGGATATGACAAAAAATCAACTCGTGGCCTCAAAATCCTCTCTCGACATAAATTCAATTCCCTGCGAATTAATACAGCCTCCTCATCTACAGGATCCTCTATAAATGGACATGCCATTTTGGTCTCTGCGTGATGGAAACATGTGCAATCTATGAATGTACTGAAAGATTAAATAAGGTAGGCCCATTTAAACACCTTTCACTTTAAAAAGGGGCGGATACCTGAGGAAACTCTGGGTTTCCCGAACAAAACCTGCTCCCAACCAGGTTAGGTTCACAGAGTAAGTTGCCATAGTAACTGACTCTGAGTTTAGATTACCTCTCTTTTTGAAACGGGTTTAACTTACCCCGCTTTCACGGGTTCAAGTTACCTCCGTTTCTGGAACCGAAAACTCCGAGTTTTCCTCATTTCGGGGTTAACAAACTCAGAGTTTCAACAAAACCTCCTTGAAACGGGCCCCTGTAGTCTAAAGACTATGGAACTTCTAAACACTGCAAGTAAACAAACAACAAATACAGCAAAAACAAAGAGAAAACCCCAAACATAAACATGTTTGTCTGAGACTGTAACACTACTAAACTCTAACACTTATATTTAAAACTTAACCTCTTCTTGTCACGATTCGGTTCTGCTGCTTCCTGTCATGCTTTTATTTAGATGTTACTTCCTGTTTTGCTTCACCACAGTTTCAGTCTTTTTACTCTCATCATCACTCACATTAGTTTCACCTGCTCCTTACTGTTTGACTTCTCGTTGGACTACACTTTTTGGATTCTGTAGAACGAAATTCTTGATAAAATGATATAGTGCTATGTTATGTGTTTGCAAAACTGTTTAAATAATTGTCTAATCTGTTTGACCTTTGTAAAAGGACCCGTGCACATGAAATGCCATGTGTAAGCAGGTGTCTAAGTGCAGAGACCCAGAACAACAGGCAGTTGTGCAGATATAGACTGAGATGACTAAAAACTGTCTTCAAGAAAAGTTGCATAAGGTCTTATTGTTTTGGCTTCAGATTATCAACATTTATCAACATTATATGAAATTCTAGGATTTACATTATAATCTGCATTAGCAAATATATCTACATGTTTACTTT